GAGAAAACTGATGATATTAGTATAAATACTTCAAATTGAATATTTTTGTCAAATTATATTTCATATGATTTCTTTTTTCTTATTCCAGTCGATTTTTCTGTAATGATTTTCCGTTAAAATTTATTGAGATATTCAACATTGATCAACTTTATTATACCTGATGAAGTTATATTTATTTTTACCATTATTCTTTACAAAATCTTCTATTTTAGTTTGAATGAATATCTGAAAATTTTACTAAGTTTTATACAGGACAATATAATGAATGTAAGTTAATATGCCTTCATCCATATTCCAAAGGAAAATTACAAATATTGTATACGAAAAAAAATATATTTTACATGTAAATATTAATTTATTCTATAAATATAATTTACTTTTATATGATAAGCTTTCAAGTCGTACAGTTGAATGAATACAAAATGAAATACAAATCGAAATTGAATTATGACTGTAAATTCTTTATGGTTTATTGAAATGTAAATTAATCGAATGGTCAGAAATTAAAAATAATGAACTTAATCAAAATTTTCATCAGTCAGTATTTTTTTTTCGTAATGATTTTATAAAATAATAAAAAAAAAGAATATTTTACTTTTGAGAGATAGTTCTTAAATAATCCTCTGATTTTGATAATACGATAAATATATATAGGATCTGAATAACATTTTCATCATTTTTTTTATTGAGAAATAATTATTATTCTACTAAAAATAATACATAAGAAACAAAAGAACAAGTGATCAAACATTTGAATCATCTTTACGGACTAAGATCCAATGTTGAGTAATAAAAAAATATAAAAAAAATGATGAAGGAAAGAAATATAAATAGATAAATCCATTAGTATATTGAATACTATGAACGATACAAGAAAATTATAATCAGTGAGTATTGAAACAAAAACAAGACAAGAACATAAATATGTAAAAATAGTAAATCAATACATGAATATGATAACTAACGAAAAATTTCATTAATCAAATAGAATATATATTTAGCCAAAAAACAAAAAATAATATAGCAAACATTACAATCATTAAATAAAGATTAGACGTCTACAAAACATGAAAACGCGAAAGAATATAATCATTGCATAGAATTCTATTTTAGTCTTCTGATCTATAAACATCTATTTAGATAAGTGTTGTATACACGAAAGTAAGACTAACAATTCAATCTCTTTGTAGAACAGAGAAGAGAATATAACTTTAATTGAATACTGAATTCCAGTAATGTTTTCTTAGAGTCTTACTTACCAAAACAATGAATTTTAATTAGGAATAAAAGTTTACATTTTGATTTGAATATAAAAAAAATACTAGAATCAGTATGATAGTCAATAACGTTTGAAATATTAAGAAAATCAAAATAAGTTTATCTATTATCTATTTCAAAATAAAAGAAGGTTGAGTATTTTTGGAATAATTTTTAATGAGAACTAGATAGAGACTTGCGATTTTCACCGTTTAAAGGAGACGACGAAACTACATCGATTTTTCTGGTGTAGTTTTACGGAGTCTGCTGCCAAGAGTTTTAGAAAATTTAGCCTTTTTAACAGGGTTAGAAGATGATTTTGTTTTGAGAAAAAATCTGAAAAAAAGTGATTATTTTCTATGATAATACTTAATGAAGTCTTCATAACACATGATGAGATAAACCTTCGAGCATCGGGCTTACAGAGATTATTGAGGTTTAGCTAATGATTCTCATGCACTACTAAAAAATAAAATTTCAAAAGTTTTACATTATGCAATATTTTATTGTTGGAAAACTTGTCAGAAGACCATGAAAAAAACGTGCCAGGAAAATCTAGCATTGGCAATTCAATGCAGTTTCATCGTCTCTTTTAAGTGGTGAATAAGTAATTGAATCAAAATTGAATATTGATGAAATTTTTATTGATTAAGTATCTTATTTTACTATTTTCCAAATATTGTAGATACACTGCATCTAAATCATAATAAGTCAAACCGTAAAATTAAAAATTTTTTGATTCATTTTTATTTTTGTGGAACTCACATATATTTTTGAAGAAGATAGTGAGAATAAATTTTAAGTTTGAGGTTTTGCAGCTTCCCCCACCCATTATAGACCTCAGTGACCGCAAACAAAAAGTACTTCAGCTTTATTCAACAATACAAAAAGAATTGAACAGAATGAAGAATATGAGTTTTACATTTAATACAATTCTTAATAGTATTATCGTTGGTTGTTTTAAGAATTTAAACTTGTATGCTAAAAATCAAGAATGAACAGGAATAATAAGTATTAATCTGTCGTACCCATGATCTAAACAATACAAGACACATGGTTCGATCTTTTTATTGGTGTCAGAAGTAAACAATATCATTATATATGAATGAATTAAAATATGTAATAATATCGTAAGCACAGCTGCTGCATAGTCAGTGCATTTTTTTAACACTCGCATTTATAAAACAATTGATGGTGAAAAAACAATTCAAATCAAAGAAAATGATTATTATTGAGTATATAGCAACAATAGTAAAAACAATCGGGCACACTCAAATGAAAAAAAGACAGTCATTGTTTTAAAATGTAGAAATAAAAGGTAAACTGTTGTTCGTGTCAGAGATAAATTATGAAAAGAACTTAAGTCGACAGAAATTTTTCAGTTTACAGATGACATAGTAGGATAACAAGTCTGAAGGATATATGTAGGTTCCACATATCAGCTCCTTTCGAGCTGCACTGACAAGTTTTCTATGAGCCGTGCAAAATTCGAAGATGATAATTATCGAATGAATAATCTTATTAGAAGTTTTGCTTGTGTCAATAGACTGAATATTAAATGTTCTTAATTTTTTTTTTCTTTAGCATAATAACGAAAATAAATTTCAATGTACCATTAAAATTAGTCGAAAAAATAAGAAATCGAAAGTGTACATCGAACAATTGATGAAGATCGGAGAGAAATTATTAAAGCTGCCATAGTTCGAATAATGAAAGCTCGAAAAACTTTACAACATGCATTACTAATACAAGAGCTTATTCAACAATTAAATTCACGTTTCGAACTCAAAATATCGATGATCAAAGCAAATTCTATTGTAATCATATAAAAGGTTTAAGTGAAATAATGTTTTTTTTTCTGATATAGAAATGTATTGATATATTAATTGAAGACGAATATATTGAACGTCAACCAAATGACAATAAACTGCTACGTTACTTGACTAAAAAACTAACTAATCAGACGATTTATATGGCAAGCATGCCGAAGATTTAAAGTTTTATCTAATATTATTATTTAAGTTCCAATAAAATCAAATTGTTTTTTATAAAATAATTTAATCAAAAATGAAAAATCTATTGTTATTTTATGTTAAGATAAAATTTTTCAACATCTTTCTCTTATTTCACTAATAGTGATGGACAAAAGTTTAGAGTAGTTGTAATTTTGAGTTTTTTTCTCAATGGCAATAACTAGAAACTGTCTAACAATAAAGATTTTTGTATTGTCAGTCGAAAAAATGGCACATATTCTGGTCAAATGAAAGTTCTCATTGTAACGAAATATAGTGCTTGTAATGTAATATAGTTATTATTAGAGGTGACAAACTATATTTGTTAGTACTAATGTACAAGATTTAGAGCCAAATATAATTGTTTGAGTGTGACAATAAGGTGAGAAGTGATCAATTCTAATAATGAGGAAGTATCAAGATTGTACGTGTTTGTACAATAATTGGTATAAATATACTGCAAATCTTTATTGATTTGATAATAAGAACACCGCACACCAATTAAATAAAATAAGAAACACGTTTGAGTATTGAAAGGATCAGGAACACCACTATATAACGTTACGTAGAAGATAATAAATATCCACAAACTTTCCGCGTTGGACTAACTCGGAAAATGCTCCGTGAAGAAATTGCTCTGTGAAGAGAATGATCTGAGAAGAAATGCTCTGGGAAGAGAATGTCTGCCTTCTGTGCGTGTTCCACTGCTTTATATACTCCTCGCTCGTCCTTCTCACTAATGACTAAAGGTGACATATGAACAATATCTAAACACGGCTTACATAAACTGTACAACGATTATCGCATGTACTGTCATCTTTAGAGGACATTGGGAACGTGTTCCACCGTGAGCGACGAGAGACGCGAATTACGTATAAAGTTGTCATCGCAGAGTTACATGAATACGTATATCACTGTCATTTTAGTTTAACACGACTAACACATACAACTGTCATGGATGGCCTTCCTTATGGACACTACATTAGCATAATCGTGCACTGACACGTTAGAAGAAGAGAGAGAGAGAAAAAAAAAGGAACGACAGGTGTAATCGTTTCTCTCGCTCGAGAGGGAGGAGAACACGAGACGATCCATAGCTATTTCTCACGTCTGGAAAGCGGAAGAACGGAAAAGAAAAGAAAGGAAAGGGAAGATAGCGATATGAGAACAAGAGTAAGCGGAAAGGAAGAAAGAGAGAGGAAGAAGATACGCACGCATACTATCGTAGTATATGAGCGCACAATATATATGAGGACGATATGTATAAGGATGATAAGTAAGAGAACGATATGTATAAGAGTGATGAGTAAGAGAACGATATGTATGAGA